AAGTAAACGGATTTAAAAATAAAAAAATTCTACTGGCTGATTGGAAGAAAGTCTAGACTAACACTAAAGAATAATATTTTGGCATACAAGAATATTGGACCGATTTGGGTGGATGGAATAGAGCTTTGGATGTGTGGCAGTAAATCAGATATAGACATCAGAGAAAGAATACAATCTGGTACGTGTCAAACCAAACTCTACACGAAGATCTACGGGTGCCGTTTGTCGGGGATGTCATCAGGGAAAAGAATACCAAACATCATGACAAACTGGCAGGCCACACCAATAAGCTACTGCATACACTTTTTACTAGAACCACAACAGAAGAATTTAAATGAAATTGGAAGAGGACTTGTCAGTGGAGAAGACCTCATCGCGCGATAATAGGGCCATACAACTCGCAAACCATCACATTAGCCCATAGAATGTTATGTATTCTGATTGCTAACTAAATAAAACTGAAAAACAAAATTTACGTGTCACAATTGTTCTAATAACTTCAATTCATTTAATAAGTGATCTTGTCACGAGAATTTGTACAGCCTTGTTGACCATAAGATCGCAGTCTCTGAATCCGAAGAATGTCGGGCTCTCGTCATTAAACATTTATCACAGTGATCGCCGAATCAGGATCACGGTCGTAAATCATAAAACCCAAATGAAAAATATTATTTGAAAATGATCATGATAATAAATTTATTTTCTATTTTTGATAAGTCCCTGATCTTTAAACAGAAAAACGTATTCGATATGATTTTACGATAAATTACATTACCATTTATGTCTTCAAAAATCAGTAGAAAAAAAAGAACTTCTAACAGAATGATTTGCTAGGTAACATATAGATTATAATTTATTTATTATTCTTCATTGTTTCTAAATATTCCTTCACTTTATACGATATAACTCGAATTTTTGTTTCGATGTCGTTAATATAAAATATACAGGTTATGTCTCGCGTGTAAAGAACTGCTAGGTTTCTTCACCAATCAGAAACGGTCACGAAAAATCACGAATTACTGTGAAAAATCACATTGATTGGGAACGAACGTGATCGAATCAGTCGTGATTCACAAGTAGCAGTTCACGCCATCTCTACTCGTCATCGTCTCGCGAGACAACAGGGGAAAGGGGCGAGAAGTTCACGGGAGCTCCGTTGTCGCGGCCGCGTTAGAATTCTAATTTCGGCTCGTCTAGCGCACGGAGGCAGATGCAACGTGTTATCGAACCTTTTAACCACGTGGACGTTTACGAGGAAGCCTCGGACTAGGCGAGAACGGCGGGTCGTCCTTCCCGGAGAATCCACGTGTGCAGGAAACAAGATGCGGGTCGCACGTGTGCCCCCGCCACTTTTAACCGTCCCTGACACCGTGAATAATGACTTCTCGTAATTTTCGCGACGACGAAAACGCGGCCCCCACGATCGACGAGAATTCTTAACTGACTCTCGATTATACACGTGTTCCGGAATTCCGTCGCACCTGACTCGCCGGGTGTGCTGATTAGAATATTCGATCGGCGGGAAAAGCGGTTTATCACGTGGGAAGTTCCTTGTACGGGAATCGAGAATGGAACATTGTTTCTATAGTCTTGATCAGGGAGCAAAAGATTAATATTTATTTACGAGTGACGATCGATTCGGTATATAGGGTATCCCAAAATAGCTTCGATTCCTGGAAATGAGGGGTCCCTGGGATGATTTGAAACAACTTTTTCCTTAGCAAAAATGTTATCCGAGGCTTTGTTAACGAGATATTAACGAAAAACCCCGACCAATCAGAGCGCATCCGCGGTAGCGTTGGCTACGCGCTGCGATTGGTAGCCGACGTTACCGCGGGAACTCGGCCGGTAGACTCGCGCTCTGATTGGTCGGGGTTTTTCGTTAATATCTCGTTAACAAAGCCTCGGATAACATTTTTGCTAAGGAAAAAGTTGTTTCAAATCATCCTAGGAATCCTCATTTCCGGGAGTCGAATCTATTTTGGGACACTCTGTTTAAGATTTCTTTAGTTGGATTGAACTAAAGTCTGTGAAAATAAGTGGTTTATATTTGGTACCGTTACGGACCTATCTAGGTCCCATCGTCAGTTACAGCATCGATAAGAAAGAATCAAGTGTTTGTTGCCAGCAGATACGATAAATTCGATTTAAAGGTTCGAATCTAACCGATACGCATTTATTACATGCTACGCATTTACGTATTGATACGGAGGATCGTCACAATTGACTCATCGTTCAGATACCACGTCCGATATCCAAAGCCAACAAATAATATATTCTGCTGCAATATTATTACTAGACTGCGGGATATGTACTTATGGCAAATTTCAATATGTAAAATGTAATAAAACAAAGACTTCAATAAAACTAAATAAATCTAACATATAACAAGATATAAATTTCTATTTTATTTCTACGTTTATAAATTAATGTTTAAAATTCTGATTTTGCATAAACATCCGCAATCTAATTATGACAGAACAAACAGAAGACGAATATTCTCGAAAAGAAGAAAGCGAATCTCAGGCCCTCAGAGTTCGTTGCGCCTTTGGGAAGGATCGAACCGCGGGGAGATGATGTGACTCGCGGCTCTCCACACAGCGAGTGTTCACCGAATTCTAAATACCTTGGCACGGTTTCCGAAGTTCGCGATGCGAATACACCCGCGCATGCAACAATACAGCAAACGTCGACAGGTGCGCTGGCTAAATATAACGGGTTGGATATCGTGTCTACGCGCAATTTTTCATTCACCGTAATTTGCTATCCTGGCGACAAAACATTTTTCTTCATTTCGTACTGGCAATTAAACTACGGATTTTGGGAACCAATTAAAACAGAGTAAACACAAGCTAAACAGAGACTCGGCTCCGGGCAAAAAACAAATTTATGAAGGGCTGAAAACGTTTCCGCCTTGCCATGAATGCTCCCAAGTGGACCCGTGTATGTCGCACTCATCGAGACATTACTGTAATTGAAATTCCATGACCGATGGAGGCGTGTGTAATATTCGCGGTTCGAAAGTGTATCGTCGGATTCCTCGTGGTTAGCGTAGGTGGTCTAAGGTTAAATCCGGAGATTCGTTTCGGGATTTCGGAGGCGTCCCGTGTCGGACGTCCACGGGGGATTATGACAAAATTGCAAGCCCGTTTGGAACGCGCGACCGTCTGCCAAGAGATTCGTAATACGTCTTCGCCCCGCCGACGATGGAGACAAATGCGGGAGAACAGGGCCGTTCCTGACGGGGGTGCAAAAGGTGACGCAGATCGTTTATCACATGCAAAATTTTGGCTAGTAAGAATATTAATCAACACGTTTTTGAAGATTATGAAAATTTTAAAGAAACAGAATTCAATCAAATTTGTTCTATATATAATATTTGTAACACTACTCGTATATAAGAATAAAGCAAGTATAATAACCAAAATTTTTCTGATGATTATGAAAATTTTAGACAAACAGAATTCAATCAAATTAATGTTATACGTAATCTTTGTAAAACTACTCATATACAAGAATGAACTATCTTTATGGGCAGCCCAAAATAGCACATGACATTTCACCGTATTTATCGGATAAAATCCATGTAGGTGGTCCCTATTTATCAATCATAACATCATTATTACAAACATTATACGGTACTTTTATACTTATATGTGGAATAAAATTTTCATTTTAAATTATTTATTTCTTAAGGATCTTTGGTTCATTTTATGAAAATAAAAATTAATAAATATCCCTTTTGCATGATAATTGTTTGAAAAATATGTATCTATATAGATATAAAAGTAAACACTGCATATTAAATTCTTAGTTAAATAATTTTAGATTAATAAGGGTGGCGATACTGTTTTAGCACCCGGGTGGACAACAACCCAGGAACGGCCCTGCGGGGAAAACAGTTCGGGCTTCGACTTGCGTTGTGCTCGCGAGAGAAGATCTTTCGCGCGGGGACGACGCGAATCGTCGGCCTTGGACGTCGATCGGTACGATCAATATTTGCGGAATCAATTCCCGCGGATGATTCGCGCAGTATCGGGCCGATAATAATCTGCGACGCGGAGATGAGACTTACAACGTAGCGATTTAAGGTGATTCGTACCTGAGTTTCTAGTCAATAAAGCATTGTATTAATAATTGGAATTAAACATCCGCTAATACATTTTAATAATGTATAAAAATTACATCTATGAAATTCAACGACATTTCAATTGATCATTCATCATTATATTGTAAATAAAAAATATATTTTGGGTAGTCGTATGACTCCACGGTGCTCGTTTCTGGTACGTTTGACAACGTTGTTTTTTCACGCATATCTATATACGTGGTGAGTGTTCAGTTTTCCCGCGTAGTCAATATACAATATTCTTATATATAAAGTTAATTATATTCCAGTGCATTATAATTTAGAAAATTAGAATTCACTAAAAATATCTTCCTGGAATGTTCGGCATGGTACAAGATTCAGTTCATTATCAGAAAGCTCAGGATTTATACTTCCAGTACCTAGTTTTTAATTAGCAGTTCTAATTTTTGTGAATAGAAAAGATACTTCCGGTAAGAAATCGTAAGACTGCCATAAGCACTGTGTTGAAAACTCAATTTTTGACAAGCTTTTTCTTATTTATTTGAGCAACCGAGCTTCGAATTTTTATTGTGTGTGTATTTCGTTCTAATAAACAATCTGTATGAATTTTATTTAATTATCTACTCTTTCGAATTTGGCACGAACCACCTTAATGAACGCGTTCGTTTTGCTGTTTGCTTGGACGACGATGCGTTTCTTTTTACGCTTATCGAATGAAGTCAACGACGAATCGATATCTGAGAATATGGGGACACGTTCAACCCTTCCCGTCCCACTGTTGCCATATGGCAACGTATTCTAAATTACGAAATAAAATACTAGTATCTTGTATTTTTTTATAATTGTGTGTAGCAAAGTCGTAAACCGGCATCTTACAGCTAGTGAAAGCTAAATCAATTAATAAACTTACCTCGTTTCTGCATATAGCTGAAAAGGTCGTCCAGAAACTCCTTCCTTTTCGGGTCGTCGTTGATCTCGTAGAGCTGAAACAGTCAGAAGAGTAACGATAAATACAGAGTTGCGTCAATCGTCTCGAGACGTGCGTGTGATATTCTCTTTTTTTCCAAGAAACGAACGCTGGGATCATTGCGCGATATCGCGGGATCGATTTCTCGAACCGTGTAACGACGCGGAAACAGGAAGAGCAAAAGAGGAATCGCGATAGAAAATTGATCTCGCGTTGATAGAACCTCTTTCCTTCTTTTTCTCCCCCTGCCTCAACGACGAATAAAATGTTACTCGGGGTCTGGACTAATAAAAACAGGAGTGAAACAAGTGTGCTCATAGCGACAGGCAGATTAGTTAGCCTCGATTATTAATGATTCCGTTTAACCTGCCTCATAACCCGAAACCCCCCCCCCCCACTCCCTCGACCGGACGAAAGCCAAACTCCCTTCAGGCTAGGCGGCCCCGTATTATCATATTTGTTATGTACGATGTGCTATATCTAATCCGAGACCCTGTAATTGCTTTTATAAAACGAGCTGCTTCTCCCCTCACCATCACCAACTCTACCTACCCCACAGTCGGTTATCCCACCAACCTGCCTCCACGTTTCCTTAGCGGTCACGGCCATCCTTTTTCTACTTAACCGCTCGTTCCCTGTTCGTCTCTAGTCGTAAAATCGTCTTCTAGAACGGCAGGGATTATTTTCAGTAGCGGTTCAAAGCGTTACGTTTGCGAACCCATTGTTAGCAGCGATCGGCTATTCTCGGTACACTTGGTCACCTATTCTCACAGCTGATCGTGTCTTTTCTCTTCTTTTCACTGACCACCGTGGTGGTGGTCTCTCACTGGATTGAAGATAAACCACGCAAAACGATTCCACGATTCATCGATTTCCTCTTTCAGAAATGCAACCGTGACACATCTGTGTCTATACGATGTAAAATGGCGGCAGCTGACGTTCGACGTTTTTTTTTATCAAGCTCCTCAAACACGTATGGGTTTATTTAGCTTTACGAGTATAGAGTTACAAATACAGAATATGTATTTTAGAAGTAAATTGCATAGATTACAATCTTTGAGGAAAGAATTAATACAAATAGAAGCTCCGACGTTGGGTTTCGTTATGAATAAACTACGGATTTTATGCATTTATAGACTATAAAGCTCCGTGAAATACAATGAAAGACAAAACTTTCATTAGAGTTGACGAGATCCTTTTTTTATTCTTAACCCAATGCGATACTTTAGAGAAAAAGAAAATTTTCACTTCTATTCTAATTACCCCGTAGAATAAATAAATAAATAAACATCAAGAAAACATAACAAATAAACAACCTCGAAACCATCGAGGAAAACTTCAGTTTTATCGTAAAAAAGTTCCGTCTACATAGTTTTATATCTACAGATCGTTGCACAACCATCGCTTTTTCCACGCATCTATTAATCATCTAGCCGGGAGTAATTAACAGTCACTTCATTGGATCGATTAGAATTATTCAGTCACAAAAAAAAAATGTAGCATACAAACATATGCCCTGTGACATAGATGCCTTCTCGATCTGTTTGCAGATAAAATCTACTCCGTGGCGTTTTCGTAATCGGGGCATGTGTTTTGCTGTGTTTTTTTTCGCGTGGTCTAAAAATATCCATAGATCTTCGCGAATGCGTGAGTCTGACTGTTTATATATATCGTAAGGCGATCGATACCTCTCGCGATGCACTTGCTTTCTACGCGATGAAGGCGTACAGGTGCTTCCGGTGTATCGACTATTGTACCACGGTTGCCAGGGTCGCTGACAGGTGTCTTGCGATCGACACCGTCCATGGACACCAGTAGAACTATACCCTATCGTCGTGTTCGATGACGTAATCAATTTCTACTTCGTCACTCCCGTTAGTCAATGACTATGGAAGATCTTCATTATCGATGTTGAAGGTAGACCGAGCGTCCAGTTCACTAATTCGAACTAATTTCTACAGGTTCGACAGATACAAAAGTTGTCACATCGGTTCAGATATTTTTCTAAACAATTGGACGTTTGTTTACGAGCTTGCATGATTTTTGTGGCTCTGACACAAAGTGATGATACGATTTTGACGTAGTAAAAATAGGAGTATGGTATTTGTACTACATAAGTTTTCAAAAATCGTATCATCACTTTGTGCCAAAGCCACAAAAATTCTGCAAACTCGTAAACGAAAGTTCAATTGTTTGGAAAAATTTCTGAATAGATGGACGCGAAATGTCTCCACAAAAAGACCCCATAATTTGCAATCTTCACTGTGGAACAAACGTGTCCATAACATCGAGAGGACCATTTTTCTAGAGGAATATTTATAGGATCCCTTTTCACCCTAAAAATCAGTAGAACACACTCGTGAAGATTGTCCATTCCTGAATATGTACTCTCTATCGACCATAAATCGACAGAAAGAATTCAGGAAACGTTATTCAGGTTCACCGAAATGGCGGACGGATCGGTGGCCCTGCGTTATTCATGCATTCCCGTTCCTGTTTTCATGGCAACGCCCCGCAACTCGATCTCACCATCCACCCTTCGCGCATCGTCTGAAACGAGGCGACTGGACAAACGAACGAACACCAACGTACACGAACGTGACGGGAGAGACGGCATTTCTCAAGGGCCATTTTGTACCACTTTCTCGTGTTTTTTCTTTGGCTGGCCGAGCGATGAGCTCGTTAGGGGCAGCCGGAGGGAGAGGACGGGGTAAAAGGTCGGAGTAAGAGGGACGTTACCACGGTTCCACATGGTCCCCCACAGCAAAGAGAGAGAGAGAGAGAGAGAGAGAGAGAGAGAGAGAGAGAGAGAGAGAGAGAGAGAGAACAGCCCAGTCCAAGTCCAAGGGGTTCAACCAGCAGTATATTGATTGATCTACAGTTAAGCAGACTGACGGCAGCCACGTGAAGATCGGGTAGAACCCGCTCCGTCGTTCCTCTTTCTCTCTTTCTTTCTTTCCGCTCTTTTGGTCCCGTGTGTGTTCGTTGTCTCAGTTCCACCTACGGTTTACAGATCCTTCTCTCCTATCCTTCACCTACCGTAAAATAAAGAGAGGCGAACGGAATTTGCTCTCGATGATGCATGCTTCGCGGCCCCGCCCTCTCCTTCTCATCGACTGACGGGCCCGGGTGAATAATAATTCCTGATACACAGCCGACGTTGATCGGGTTACTCTTCTCCCTACTCACCCCCCCCCTCCCTCCCCCCATCTGTCCCAGCGAACCGGGGAGGAACCGCGCAGCCTGGGCCCTGGATGATCGATGTACGGAACGCTGCTAGCGCCGTGCGTCGTCCAGGGTGTAGTATATAATACGCGCTCGGTCCCAACATCAAGACGCAGCGCGGATCGCGTTTTTGTCGTCGGGACGATTAACTGCCATTAGTACCGGCGTCGACCGGGTCGTTTGTCGTCGGATGCTTGTATGGTCGATCGATTCGATTACGGTGCCAGGGACTTGTTGATCGGTCATTAGCCCGGAATGATGATGATTGCGGCTACGGCTGTCGCGTTAAACATTCAGTTAACACTAAATCGAACTACCAGACACGTTGAAATGATCGTTGGTATATACAATCTTCACAACGACGATTAAAATGTGACAATACAATTTTTCGGATTTTTTGTGAATTTTGTGTTAGCCCTGTAAACAATTTGCGCGCAGATGGGCAGCAGATATTAACGAAATCTGTTGACAAATATGTAACCATCTGTTTCCATATTTGATTTCGATTTTGCAGACAAAGAACGTTGACAGAATTCTGAGGCAGATTGACAGTAGATTACTTATAGCAGATCCTGCATCGAATCTGTAGCCATTCTGGTTACAGAAGTTTATAACTTGGTATTGGACAAAATTTGACTGTGCAAGGTCTGCAGTCGCTGCCAAGAGAAACTATTGCGTGAAACTGAAATCTATCCAGGACGCGGAACGGCGATTACGCGCGACAAACTTTACGAGCGCGAGAAGAAAGATCCGGATGGGAGGTCGCCGTAAAATTCGCGGAAGGTTAAGGGGGGAGGGCCGACAGCCACGCCACACGTCGTTACCTTTACGAGGGGTAATTATCGATGCGCGCGGCTCTTTCTGCCGCCCCCGAGATCCAGATAAACCGGTGTCTTCCGGCTGATAAGCAGCGACGATAAGAGGCTGGCGCGTACCGTTTGCGACGATACGAAAGCCCTCTCGGTAGAGACCGTTTTGCACGGTGTCTTTGGCAGATTGTGATCGTTGTTACGGTGAGGTTGAGAACGATGTTATAAAAAGAAAACGAACCAGCTAGGTGGAAAAGATCTCGATCGTGGCCTAGCTAGGCGACATTACGAGCGACGAAGACAGGGAGATCGTGAGAGAGATTCGAAAAGTTGGGTTGACAAAAGGACAATTGTAATTCGAAGTCGTATAGCCTGTGACTATTTAATTGTTCACTGTCTTCTATAGTTTTTCGCACGGAAGGTGTAGTTACACACCCGTATGCAAGGAGATCCGGCGCCCTCGCGAGGGGTCCGTCCACTTCCGGTCGTAAAATGCTTTTATAAGGGTGCGTCTGTGGCCGACGAAACGGAAACGGGTGCAGCCTTAAATAATGCATCGTCCTCGAGGTTAAGAAACGCTTCTTCGAACGTAGTTAAATTATCCCCTCTACCGATTTCTTGTTGCGAACCAGTTTCATTTGGATTTTATTAAACGACGATAGGTTGATGAAACGATGGGACAGTGAAAAATTCGAAGCTTTCTCGGTGATGCCGAGCGCCGAGGCTGGTGGGGAATATCAAGATCCAGCGTTATACGAGCGGCCGTAATAGCGGCTGCTACCATTACCCGCTTCCAGGGCATTAAAAGATAGCGCGGGGGCAATTATAATCGTTACGATCTTCCGATAGCCTCTTCTGGGCATCCTCATCCGCTTTTGCTACGTTTCTAGATGGATTGAGCCTGAGTCCTGGTGATGAATAAAATCATTTCTTCCGTATTACGTTAAATACGAACCTGATGTATATAGAATAAAAGTATAGA